CATTAAAAAGTCACCTTAAATGCAATTCAATGTCTATATGCAACTCCAACTTTTATTTGAGCACAGATTATTAAATAAATGCTACTAATTAATTGATTATTAAATAAGGCTGTCAAGCAATTACAATTTTTTATCTAATTAATTACGTGACGATTAATTAAATTTTTTTTTAAACTGAATATTGAAAATAAATATTGAAATAATAAAAAATAAAACAAAACATGAAATATACTCTAAATATGAAAGAAAAATCTGCCTGTCTTGATGAGTGAATCATTTAATCATTCATTCAACCGATTTGTTCAAACGGCTGATTTATTCAGAAATGAAGGAAGTGAGTGTCTTTATGAATGAGTCACTGAATCATCGACTCACTTGATTCGTTTAAAAATGCTGATTCATTCAGAAATGATGAAAGTGGATGTCTTTATGAATGAGTTACTGAATTGACTCACTCTGTTCAAAAATGTTGATTCAATCAGAAATGATGCAAGTGACTCTATTTATGAATGAGTCACTGAATCATCGACTCACTTGATTCGTTTAAAAATGCTGATTCATTCAGAAATGATGAAAGTGGATGTCTTTATGAATGAGTTACTGAATTGACTCACTCTGTTCAAAAATGTTGATTCAATCAGAAATGATGCAAGTGACTCTATTTATGAATGAGTCACTGAATCATCGACTCACTTGATTCGTTCAAACAGCTGATTCATTCCATAAGATGATTCAGTCACTGAATCACTGATTCACTCGATCTGTTCAAACAGCTGAATCATTGACTCACTCGATCCGTTCAAACAGCTGATTCATTCCGATGCTGATTCATTCAGAAATGATGAAAGTGAGTGTCTTTATGAATGAGTCACTGAATCGACTCACTCCGTTCAAAAATGCTGATTCATTCAGAAATTATGCAAGTGAGTGTCTTTATGAATGAGTCACTTAATCTTTGACTCACTTGATTCGCTCAAAAATGCTGATTCATTCAGAAATGATGCAAGTGACTGTATTTATGAATGAGTCACTGAATCATCGACTCACTTGATTCGTTTAAAAATGCTGATTCATTCAGAAATGATGAAAGTGGATGTCTTTATGAATGAGTTACTGAATTGACTCACTCTGTTCAAAAATGTTGATTCAATCAGAAATGATGCAAGTGACTCTATTTATGAATGAGTCACTGAATCATCGACTCACTTGATTCGTTTAAAAATGCTGATTCAATCAGAAATGATGCAAGTGACTGTATTTATGAATGAGTCACTGAATCATCGACTCACTTGATTCGTTTAAAAATGCTGATTCATTCAGAAATGATGCAAGTGACTGTCTTTATGAATGAGTCACTGAATCGACTCACTCCGTTAAAAAATGCTGATTCATTCAGAAATTATGCAAGTGAGTGTCTTTATGAATGAGTCACTGAATCATTGACTTACATGATTCGTTCAAAAATGCTGATGTATTTATGAATGAGTGACTCACTAGATTTGTTCAAAACCGTGGATTCACTCAATAACGAATCTGCTGTCTGTTGCTCGGAAATGCATAACAGTTCTGCTGTGGCTATGAACTATTTTTGTTTGAGAAATTGAGCAAAACAGACAATACTGTGTCTAAAATGTAACACAATATTAATTATTTACTGACCTATTAAATCAATAACATATTTGTAATGGTGCATATTTAGGAGAAAAACAGCACTCACTGGTGTGACATTGCTCATTTTAACATGTTATATTTTACATAATAAATTGCACCAAATTAACACGCTCTATTGACAGCCCTATTACGAAATAAACTTTTTTTTTCTTTTTTTTCGGTAAAAAAAACAAACATTTTGTTGCATTACTATAAAGCATATAGCCTATGTTTATATTAATTCCATAAAAATAAAGAGAAAAACAGCACTCACTGGTGTGACATTGCTCATTTTAACATGTTATATTTTGTTATATATAATAAATTGCACCAAATTAACACGCTATATTGACAGCCCTATTACGAAATAAACTTTTTTAGTTTTTTTTTCGGTAAAAAAAACAAACATTTTGTTGCATTACTATAAAGCATATAGCCTATGTTTATATTAATTCCATAAAAATAAATGGATATTGAATATGAACAAGCACTGATCAAAATAATGACACTGAGTACCAGAAAGGCCTCGTTGAACTCGAAGGAGCATGGGAACTGTCTCTGGAGCTGGTGAACGCAGTCGAGCCACTGCAGGAACACGGGACAGCGCTCGTTCAGATCGCACGCGTTCTCACCGTGACCGCAGCGGTCGGCGAACTTATGACCGTAATCCAACCACTCAGCCTCTACCAGCACCTGAAAACCCTGCCGAAACGAAATACAACAACAATTTACTGATCATGGCTCCTTATTCTTTAAAATCTAAAAGTAAAGGCTCAAAAGTCCAGTGCATTTGATTTAAACTTTAATAGCAAAAAGAGTTAGTAGTTAGAGCTGCTAAACAGCAGAGGTCGCGACCCAGTACCGGGCCGTGGAACAGCTGCTACCGGGTCGCAAGAACATTTAGGGAAAAATATGACATTTATTGTGCATTTTGCCCTTTGAGAGCCACTATCTAAATTTACATACAACATGATTTCAGAAAACATTGTTTCCACACTTGCAACCGATTATCGGCACCGATATTAAGCATTTATGGTTATCGGTATCAGTCATTTTCAAAACCGATTTGCCGATACAATAATTTAATAGCATTTAAACAAAGTAATTTTGACATTAATTTTCATTTTAACACCAGACATATATATCAGTTCAAAATATTGGTTATCGGTCTACTTGATCTGTAATAATCGTATCGTCATCGGCCCTGAAAAACACATATCGGTCGACCCCTAAAACATATACACGCACCCCCAGCAGCTGGTCCACGAAACTGGTCCATGGTGTAAAAAGGTTGGAGACCCCTCAATTCAAAACTAACTTTCATATGCTGAACATAAAAGAAGATATTTTGAAGAATGAGAATATTTTATAATGTATATAAAATTTTGTAATATTATTTTATATATTATTAAATATTTAATTATTTTGTGTAGAAATATTTAACATTATTAAACAATTATATTTAATATATTGTGTACATTTAATATATATATATATATATATATATATAATAGTAGTTTTATTTGGCTGCTTTAACCATTGTGTTTTTCAACACATTTGTTGTGGTAAAAAAGGGTTAAAGCACAATATGTAAGGGAAGTCGTGGCCTAATGGTTAGAGAGTCGGACTCATAACCCAAAGGTTGCGGGTTCGAGTCTCGGGATTGTAGGTGGGGGGAGTGAATGTACAGCGCTCTCTCCCACCTTCAATACCACGACTGAGGTGCCCTTGAGCAAGGCACTGAACCCCCAACTGCTCCCTATGTGGCATTTTTATTTAAATGTTTTAGTAAAGAAGATTTGTAGGTAAATTTTGCCCTTTTTTATGATGTACTGTTATATTGGTGCATAAAAAAAGTAAATGATTAAATATGTTTTACTTTGTGCATTAAACTGTTAACCCTATAAAGCCTGAGAAAATACATACATTTACATTTCTGCAACTGGCAGACACTTTTATCTTACTTAAAGCGACTTACATTGCATTCAATTTTCACATTTGGTCAGTTCATGCATTTCCTGGGAATCGCACCCATGACTTTGATGTTGTTAGTGCACATATACACTAAATGCTGCAAAAGGCTACTGAGATCTTTCTTAGATATATTACCCAGTCAAACTTGGTGCAATCCCCGTTTAGTAAAAGTAAACCTTAAAAAATTATATTTATCAGATCCTAAAGAGAGTGTATGTTTATTGTGTCCACAAATGCAGGAAGTGCTGACATATTAAACAGCAGTTTGCAGTGAGGTTACGCCTGAATGTGCACTAAAATTATACAACATTCCTGCGAGGCTATAAATGATGCACGTTATTCTTCTAAGGAAGCGCTCAAAGGCACCACTGTGAGCATGACGTGTGTGTGTATGTGTGTGTGAGAGAGAGAGAGACAGTGTGTGTGTGTGAGTGAGAGAGAGAGAGAGAGAGAGAGAGAGAGAGACCTCAATGGTCCTGTAGAAGGGATCCAGCATGAGTTTGGACAGAGCCACTATCTGAGGCGTGCGGTCCCAGCCGTCGGAGCAGTGCACCAGCACAGGCCTGCGGTCCCGATGCACTGCGTTCACCACCAGAAGAGACGCCTTCAGCAGCAGAGACAGATGCTGCAGCCATTTAGTGCCCTCCAACGCCGACAGCCAGCTGACCAGAGAACAGAAGGAGAGAGAGATGTATTTATATTCAATATTTCATTATGAATGCTCCTTTTTGCCTAATAATTTAAAACCTTGCCGTACGCCACCACTAACTTTAAGGGGTTAAAGCAAAGATTGAACTTTTTAAGAGCACAATTCATAGAAATGGGATGCACTTTCTCTTTAACAGTGCATGTAAACGAGCGTCTGTATGCATATTCATTAATTGAAAAAGTCATGCAACTTTAACCTTTACTAATGTGACAGAAATCATTTATTATTGATTGCAGTTTTTTGTGTGTATATATACACACACCCACACTCACAAAAAGTGTACAATAATAATAATATACTAATAAATATACTAATGTCTGATATTAAGCTATAAAACAGTATAGCTTAATAATATGTATAGCTTAATAATATAAGACATTTATTAGTGTATTTATTATAATTATTTATTATATTTAATATAGATATAAAAATATAAATAAAAAATTATCTCTATACATATATATATATATATATATATACTGTATATATACAAATAATAAAACACATATATATTACATTCAATGATTAAATGTAAATCATTCCTTTATAATATTTGAACATGCCAGCTTCTACTCTGTTGCATTGTTCAGGTTCGAGTTAGTCAAGGCAACTATCTGACTTGTGTGTTGTGAATCACTTAGACAAAAAAATGTATTCATTGAATGAGAAAAAATACTTTTATGCTGCTACTGTATAAACTACTGGAAGTCTGCTGAGCCACAGCCTTTTAAATTATTTGAGGAACACGGTCTCTTTAAAGCTGAATTATTTACCTCTATTTTATGAAGAATCTAGCCAGCTGCTCTTCCATTAGTTGGCTCATTTCATGGACCTTCATGAATGTGAGCGTGTGTTGACTTCGGTCCTAACACTTTTTATTATTATATTTTAATATATTATTAGAATATTTTTATTATATTATTACATATTTATTATTATATAATAAATATAATATTTTTATTAATTTAAGATTTTAATTTATTTCAGTAAATGTTTCTTTTATTTAAAGTAATTTTTTGTCATTTTTATTAGTTTTATTTTATATATATATATAATTAATATTTAGGTTTAATATATTTTTTACTTCCCGTTTTAGTTTTTATTTATGCATTTCTATTTTATTTAATTCCATTTAATTCTATTTTATTTCTATTTCTATTTTTAAATTTATTCCAGTTGCCAAGACAACATTTCTATTTTTCATTAGAAAATTCTAATATTTATATTTTATTTTTGCTTTACTTCAATTAACAAAAATATTTTTAATAGTTTCAGTTTTAGCTAACAATAATAAGCTCCATTATCACATGACTTCAGAAGACATGAAATATAGCACACGAGTCATACGGACTACTGTTGCAATACTTTTAATAAAGTGCTTTTTGTCATTTTTGGAGCTCTAAAGCATCCGTCCTCATTCACTTTCACTGTATAAGACAGGACAGCATGGATATGTTTTAAAACATCTCCTTTTCTGTTCCACAGAAGAGAGAAAGTCAGGGTTTGATACAACGTGAGGGTGAGTAAATAATGATATCATTTACATTTCTGAAAGATCAGTAAATCGGTTTAAGGACCAGAACCTGTAAAACACAAACGGTCCAGTACCTGCACGGCAGATCCCATCATGCACCTCTCTGTCCTCGGCGGAGACGCTGGCGCTACACGAGAGGAAGGCGAAGGCGAAGAGCTCCTCCAGCTGCGCCGGCGGTCGAACGACTGCGCTGATCCTCCGCAGCCAATCCTGGCACTGCTCCGCCGACAGAAAGTTACACCTGAGCACAGATCAGACGAGCCCTGCAGGTTCCTGATGATTCACTTTCCTCATGAACATGCTGTTATGCTCGATTCAGCAATGCATATTATTACAAAAGCCCGTTTCCGCCACAGTATAAAAAATAAAAAAGGTAATAGCCATTTTTTGTCTTACAATTAGGCCTGGGCGATGAAACGGTATCGATATTTATCGACGGTACACCTTCTTCGATAACGATATAATGCACGATATAGGCACGTGCTCTGAGTGATGCAGACAGCACACACAAACATGAACACGAGTGCTGTGCCCGCCTGTGATGAGGATTAATTAATATTAGTCGAATTTAAAATAAACATTTGCATTCGAATGTTAGGAGTGCGTCAGGGAGCGTCATCAGTGGAGCACGAGATGCGGTGAAGATGATGTTAGTGACGTTGTTGCATTTTAATGTTTTGTTAGTCTAGCCCACGAGACGCGCCGCTGCTGCGTTATTCATTCAAAATATTAGAGAAATATAGAAGCTCAATGCAGAGAAGATCTTGATTAGGTTAAAACCGAAACCAGAGCATCTTTAGACAGACAAATATGACTGCTGCACTCGCGTGCCACACAAGAGATGTATAGAAAGCCATGCAAAGTTAAAACAGTTTAAACGTTAAGAAAACACATCACGAATTTGTGGAGGTTTATTCCTTTTCACTGCATCTCTTATGTTCTTAAAGGCAATCTGTGTGAATGGCGATTTGGCTCTTTGGATTAAGCAATGCATGCTGTTTTGTTCATAATTGTTTATGCAATTTATGAAATTATATTTATGTGAGTTAATTTAGATGTTATGCAGGTTTTTATAGAGTTACTTCCTTGCGTTGACAATTTAATGCACTGCATTGTTTTCCTCATTACGCCCTCGGGAGACAAGCCAAAAGTTTAACCTATTTAATCTGCAAATATCTGAGATATTTGTTTAATTTTTATTTTGTGTTTGACTGTGAAAAAAAAAAAATGGTTGTTTGTCTCAATAAATTGAGTTAATTTATAAATATAGTGGTTAAATGTAAAAAAAAAATATATTGCTCTTTATGTTAAAAAGGTTTTTAAAAATGTCAATAATTATCGATACCGAAC